CGGCTGCGCGAGGCAGACCAGGACCCCAGCGTGCCTCCCTACGACTCCGTGCAGGTGTACGGCTACGAAGGCCGGGGCTCTTCCTGCGGCTCCCTCAGCTCCCTGGGCTCGGGCAGCGAGGCCGGCGGCGTCCCAGGCCCGTTGGAGCCACTGGACGACTGGGGTCCACTTTTCCGCACCCTGGCCGATCTGTATGGGGCCAAGGAGCCCCCGGCCCCCTGAGCGCCCGCCCTGGCCCGCCGCGGTGGGGCAACCCGCACAGGCCCTCTGAGTGAGCCCCACAGGGTCCAGGCAGGCGGCAGCAGCCCAGGGGCCCCAGGCCTCCTCCCGGCCCCTGTGTCCCTCCTTCCTTCCCCAGGGCACCCGCGCTCTTACCTCCTACTTCTAAGTCGGTCTGTGTGTCTCTCTCTCCAGGGATCTGTCTGTGACACTCTCCCTCTGTCAGGGTCTGGGTTTTGTGACTCTGACCTTGAACCTGTCCTCTCACTGTGATTCTCCGTGGCTGTTTTTGTCTCTGCGACTCTAAGCCTCTCACTCTGTCTCCCTTGCCCACACACATGCTCTGTGTCTGTCTCCCGCCCTCATCTTCCCTCCTCTTTGGGTCCCTGTGACTGGCTTTTTGAGTTTTCTTTGTTTTTGTTTCTGATGTCCATCCCAAAAGTAAAAGAAACTTCCAGCCACTGCTGCCCACCCTCCTGCAGGGGACGCTCTGCCCCAGGTCAGTGCCCTAGACTGTGTAGGAGGGGGTGGACCAAAACCCCTCCCCACCTCTGCCTCTCATGCTCTCCTGTCCTTACAGACCTGCCCGCATGGTTCCATCCATCACTCATGGCCTCATCCTGGCTCCACCGGCCTCCAGCAGAAGGAGGGAGCCAGCCTGCCTCCCAGGGTGAGAGCTCCAGCCCCCAAGTGGCCGCCTCCCTGGAGCTCTAACCAGCTGTCAGCCTGTCCTGGCCATCCCAGCTTCGGGCATTGTCTTGTGTGCTTCCCAGGCCCCAGAGGGGAAGAGGGAAGAAAAGGAGAAGGCAGCTGAGGAAGGGGAAAGAAGGAGGAAGGGGAGGGGCCTCCATCTCTAATTTCATAATAAACACTTTATTTTGTAAAGCCAGGGTGCTGCTTCTGTTTCTGTGCTCCGGTTTTCTGGACAGAGCTTCTTCTCTGCAGAAGGATGGGAGGAGAGACCTGTCATCTCCCAGCTCATTCCTTCTCCTTGGGGGAATCCACTTCAAGATCTCTAGGTAGAGGAGGGTTTGGATCATTCAATTTGGAGAGAGAGAGATGATAATGACTGCGGCCCCACTCCCACCATCAGGAGGTTCCCTGTAGGTCTCAGGCCAACGTCCCCTTACAAGAGGGGAAGGTGGGCAGGAGGAATACAGGTGAGAGCTAGCAGAAGAGAGGACAGATAGAAGGCTGAGAACAAAAGAGGAGGTTCCGGGTTAGGAAAAAAACGTGGGTGAGTAGACAGCCAACCCTTTCTGGGCCTGTAGTGCCAGTACTGAAAGAGGGGGCCTCCTAGAATGAGACCCTCCCTATACTCCCACCTTTAATTCTCCCCCTGCCAAATATTAGTCTTGATGGAGCATGAAAGAAGAGGGGGAGGACGCAGGGAGGCTTGCTGTTGGGCAAAATAAATCAGCAGGAGTGGCAGCTAAGGCGACTGCCAGCATCCCCAATGCCCCCTTCCTGAGGTAGAGAATGGGTCTGCCTACAAACAGCACAAGACCCAGGCCTCTTACTCCAGCAGGGCTCATGGAGATACATGGGAATAGCTGGGTCAGGACAGGTCCTTGTGCTCCTCCCTGTTAAGCACGTGTGCTGGCAATTGGGGAAAACTGCTTTGATGGGAACATTTCTTCTCACACTTTCCATACCTGATGGGTTAGAGTTAGAGCAACCAGGTGGTGGGAGGACAAGGAGCCTCGCTCTGGGACTGCTTGGTATTTACTCTGTCGAAGCTGAAACCCTAGACCCCTAACAGGCCAAGGGCCTGGGTAAGAGCCAGCCGTCTATCTCTCCAAGACCTCTGCAGACTGAGAAAGCAGCATCCCAAGCAGGGCATGGGTGGGGGAAACAAGTCTTTGGGTTCAAGGCAGAAAGGGCACGGTCTCTGCCCCTTTGCTCACCCTGATACCTGCATCAGATCTTCAGGAATTGCTGGAGCAATGGAGGAAATGACTCACTGGTCTGTCTCAGATACAGAGGGGCACTGGAATAGGATGCTGGCCTTGCCTGCCCAGCCCTTCCTCCCCTCACATTCCCCTGGAGTCCTCCCCCAAGTGAGTAAAAACTTAGAGGAGCCTGGCACCTGTGGCTCACACCTGTAATTTTAGCTACTCAGGAGGCAGAGATCAGGAGGATCAAGGCCAGCCTTGGCAAATAGTTCTCCAGACCCTATCTCAAAAATACCCAGCAACAAAAAAAAAAGGGCTGGTGGAGTGGCTTAAGGTGTAGAGTGCCTGCCTAGCAAGTGTGAGGCTCTGAGTCCAAACCCCAGCACCACCAAAAAGAAAAAAAAAAAAAAAAATCTTGGAGGAAAAAGTTCTTATTCCCCCGACCTCCCCCCACCCCCGCCTCTGGTCCTGGGGCTTGAATTCAGGGACTACATCTTGAGCCACTCCACCAACCCTTTTTTGTAATGTTTTTCTTGAGACAGAGTCTCACAAAGTATTTGCCCAGGCTGGCTTCGAACCACAATCCTCCTGATCTCTGCCTCTTGAGTAGCTGGGATTATAGGTGCGAGCCACTGGCGCTCGGCTCCTCCAAGTTTTTACAAGACAGGGAAACAGTCTTCTCAACAAGACCTATGAGCTTAAATATCTCATCATTTGGAAGAACAGGACCTGTCAAATGAAGTACAGATAGACAGAACCTGAAAGGAAAGTGAGGGGAAGAAGGAGGAGAAGCTAGGAGAAAATGTAAGAAGACAGGGCTCATCTTCAAGTCCTCCCTCTCAGGGTTCCATCCTTCTTATCCAGTTTGGGAAAGGGAGGGGTACAGAGCATCTCAGGAGAGTGAGCTGCATGTTCTTCACAGCAGCCTTTGGCTGGAATCAGGTGTCAATTCAGGCCCCAGGCCATCTCTCAATCCCTGCCTTTATTAGCTGCCTGAGAGCCTAAGAATAGGTTCTTAACTTAAAGGGAAACAGCAGCAGACTGGACAAAGTACACCCCCCAACCCCCCACCCCCACCCCCCACAAAGGAGGGGCAAGGCCTGGCACTGTTCCTCATAAGATACTACCCCCACCCCCTTATTCAGGTGTTGCTCTTTTCTCTTCTAGTCTATTTTCTGGTTCCTGCACAAGGGAACTGCACATGTATCACCTGCCACACTCAAGTGTACATACCCACCTATATCACTCACATACACCTGCACACAGACCTACATACATCTGTGGACAGGAATCTACCTGCACCCTATGCCTGAGTCAATCAAATACATAAACCACATGCAAAAACTACTCTTTCTTACCAGCTTCTCCAGGACTAGGATGTTCCTTTGGTTACCACTCCCAGAGTCTCACACCTCCTCCCTTGAGGCTGGGAGAAGGTAAGAGATGAAGAGGGTTGCTGTAGAGGCCACCTGGCCAGATTCCTAAACCTGGCTTGCAGGCTAGTTGTCCTGTCCTAGGCACCTTTCTGTGATCCTTTCCCCTACCACAGGTTCTCCCACCTCTGTCCCCACTGCTTTTCTTTGTGGAGCTCCCTAACTTTCCTTCCTCCTCTCCAGAGTCTGAAGAGTCAGGGTCTGAGCCTGGAAGTTTCCTCCTGTCTGGGCAGCCCCTGCCTGGAAGAATTCTTAGCCTGAGGTGCAGGTGTATCCAGTAGGGAGAAATGGCTGTTACTCTTGGGACTAGAAGGAGTGAGAGAAGAGAAAAGATGTTACAGTAACCTTCCTTCAGGTCCCATATCCTTGGCCAACTCTGTTTTCTCCTCCTGGCCTGGGGAGAAGGCAGTGGACCTCCTGGAGCTGCCAGCCTGGACCTTCAAATCAGGGCTCACAGGGAGCTGGAAAGGGGGCAATGCTCACTGGCACAGTCGCCTCCCTCTTCTCTTCATTCTCCAGAGGGAGCATCAGGAAGAAGAGGCTGGAGTGAAGGAAAGGGAAGAAAGGAGGAGGAAGTCTGGCAGAGTAGAGAGCAGGGTTGGGCTATGGGGATGGCTCCAGGTCAGAGGAGACTGGGCGGACGTAGCTTCCCTGAGCTCATCCCTCTGAGCACTCCAGTTCCTTGGAATTCATTCCTCTTTGACCATAAGGCGAGGGCTTAGTCCAGCTATTCTCTCTCCATATCACTCCTCAGAAGCCAGGAGGGAAGAGAGAAAAGGGCTGGGAGGGGAGCACAGCTCTAGAGGAGAAGGCCTGGATCTAAGTCCCATTACTGCACCTACTGTGCAACCTGGGCATGTCACCTAACTGTGAACCTGATCCCTCTTCTGGGAAGTGAAGAGCATTGTACCTCAAAGGGCTGTCATGAGAACAGCACTCAGCACAGGAGTAATCATTACAGTCATTACAATCACAGCAGAGGAGGACCTACGAGACAAGTCCATCACCAACAAAAGGTACCCACCAAGTGATGGGCCCCACACTTGTCTGGGTTGCTCTCCCCACGTCATTCAGTGAGAGATGCTCCTCTCCTGGCTGTCCTACCTCACCAAGGTGAGAAAGTGACCATGAAAAAGAAATGAAGACTCTGAGATTCAGACAGATAAAGACCAAAACAGAGAACAGAGACTGAGGATGAGATGGGGGAAAGCAGAAAAGAGGAGGAAAGCAAAAGACAGTCTAACACCTAGCATGGGATCTGGCATGAAGCAGACATACCGCAAGTGTTTGCTGAAACAGCTTGGAGCCAAGAAGGAGGCTGGACCAACCCACTGGGCATCAGTAAGGACATACGGGAAATAGAAAGGGTGGGGACATGGAACAAATGAAGCAGGCAACTGAGAAGGGCTGGAGACAGATGTCATAAGGCTGCTCACAGGGTCCCCTCCCCCACTCACAGCCTCTCAGTCTCTGCAGGCATCCTAGAGTCTGGTGTCATCTCCCCTGGCCCTGAAGACAGTTCATCTTCTCCAGCTCTGTGGGGCGTGGAAGGATGGATCTTGCCATCTTCTGCCTCCGTCACAGGCTCTGGCTCCCGGAGCTCCTCCAGTTCCATGTACAAGACACAGGCATCATCGCGTGATACATATTCCCATCCACTCTCCCGCACGTGAAAAAGGTCTACTGAGCCCCCTGAGTAGGCATCGCGGTGGGTGGCATGGGCAACAGCACAGCGGGCCAGGGCATAAGCTTCTGGGATGGTCATGTCATAGTTGTAACTGCGGTCCAGCACACCATAGGCATAGGGAGATCCAGAGCCCACAGAGAAGATGTCCCCCTGCAGGCAGGTACCATTGCTGTAGACGTAGAAGAGGGCAGGTCCGGAGCGGTCCCAGCCACACAGGGCAGTAGCCACACACAGATCCAGACCCCGGTAGCGGGACATCATGGCTGATAGAAGCTTGGCTGCACTGGCCACACTGGGCAGGTGCCCCTCCCTCAGTGCCCGAAGTCGCAGCTCCCGCTGTAGCACCCGATACCATGTGACACAATCAGCAGAGGTGCCAGAAGTGGTACCCAGGAGGTGCTGGTGCACAGGGATGACCTTGCGTGAGGCTGGACAGGCCACATAGCTACCACAGGAGGAACGTGTGTCGGCTGCAGCAATGACGCCATGACGGAAGCGGAAGGCTAGGGTGGTGGTGCCGTGGGCTAGCCTGGGGCCATGGGTCTGCAGGAAGGTTTGAGGGTCACAGCCTCGGGGCATGGCCCAGTCATCTGCCAGAGGCAGACGAGAGGATGGTCCTCTGCTGTCATGAGCCTGCCACTTGCACACATCCTGCAGAGCCATCCCTGAGGCTGAGTGAAGGTGTCCAAAGTGAAGGTGGAAGTACCAGGGCAGGGATTTGTGGACTAAGGTCAGGTTTGGGGGAGAGGGACGCTACAGAGAAGCTGGGCTGCAGCCAGACCCAGTAACTAAGGCATACAAGCTGACGCTTCGTTTCTCCCCAACTCCAAACCAGGCTTTGGAATTGGCTAATGGAACAGCCCCCTCTTCCTCAGAGGGGAGACAGGGTGGGCCAGTGGAGTGTCCAGCACTGGGAAGATGCTATCCATCAGTCATACTTTTGCCTTCTGCTGACTGTGATGCATCTGAGAGTCACCTACAGAGTCTCCTGTCTGTCATCCTATAACTGCCAGAGGGGGAGTAGGGCTGGGGAAACTGCAAAGTAAAGGAGAATGGGCACAAGAGGAAGAGCAGAGCTGGGTCTGTGAGTTGTTTTGTTTTGTTTTTCCTGTGTGGAACCTTGGGCATTCAAAGACAAATGAGGCTCTGCCCCTGGCCTGAGAGAGCTCCCAACATGGGGTGAGTAAAGACAACTCAGAATACAGAACTGTGGACCCACTGATGTTGGATCCAAGCCCAGGGAATTCTGAGGCTCAGTTAATACTGTCAACTCATAGGAAAAACAAAATGAACTGAGACCAACATAGAAGAAAGTTTTGTAAAGGGGGAAAAGAGAAAGAGGCTCAAACACCTTCTAGAAAGGCAGGTTACTGAGAGGCAAGGGTTACTGAAGGAAAACCAGAACCTGGAGGTCTCTTTCTCATCTGCTTTAGGGATGAAGGTGTCCTACTGTCAGTGTACAAAGATGACATCCTGTCTGTGTATGTAGTTCAGTGCTAGAGCACTTGCCTAGTATGTCCAAGGCTCTGGGTTCCATCACCAGCACCACACACACAAAAAAATTTTCCAAATATGACATTCCTATCAATGCTTTGGCAATCTCACTTGACTTGTGTTAGAGTCCTAAGGATAGCCAGATGTGGTGATATGCACCTGTGATCCCAGCACTCAAAAGGCTGAGAAAGGAAGACTGCAAGTTTCAGGCTAGCCTGGGCTACATAGTGAGATTTTGTGTTTAAAAAAAAAAGAAAGGCATGAGGATGAAAGGACCTAGTGCCATTCCCTTCTGGTCCCTCTTCTGCTCAATAGCTCACATCAGCAGGTAAGCTGGCTTGTAGCTGTAGGGCAAGAGAAACAACTGACCTTGACCCCATAACACTGAGTGTAAATCTTAGACCAACCAGGAGTGATATGGGGTGGGGTTGGTGAATCCTGGGGGACAACTGTCCCCTCAAAGAAATGTCACAGATTGAGGCAGAGTGACAAGTTACAACTTCTTCCAGCATCATGTGGAGTATATTTTACTAAACATTGCAGCTCAGTGCTTAAGGGCCAGTGTAAGCATGTCATGGGGAGACTGGAGGAACCATCAGGGCACGCAGAAGTCCACCCAGGCCGCCCTTCCCTTGTGTAGCACCACCTGGGAATCATACTGAAGAGATAAGAAGAACTCCCCTTTCTAAAGACTAAGTGTTAGACTCTAAATAAGGATGGGCTGTCACCTCCCTAAGGCACACCATTATCAAGTCAGGTCCAGACAGTTGAATGACCTCCTACATGGCAACTTCCAGTCTCCCACTCTAAAACAAAGATATGTTTCCCTAAGATATCATTCAAATCCTGTGTCTCCTCTGCTAAGAAACCAGAAAATAAAAGGCAAACTCAGGCTAACTTTTTTTGGCACTGTTGGAATTTGAACTCAGGGCCTCATGCTTGCTAGCAGGCACTCTACCATTTGAGCCATTCCACAAGCCCCCAGACTAGCATTTAAGGTCCTCTACAGTCCAGTCCAAATCCAACCACCACACCGTCTTTCCTCTCTATTCCTAACAGATCTCCCCTATTTAAATCCTATCCCTCAACATCTGTCTTAAGTACCACCTACTCTGAAAATTCTTCCCAGGTAGGTGTGGGCTGAGAAAGGAAAGGCTGTAGGTTTGTTTTTTCAGTTCAGTTTTATATATTATTTATTTATTTATTGTAGCTCTCAGGCATTTTATTATAAAATTTGGTACTCATACACATAAATTAAACTAATATGAACTTAAAATTCATCATACATTAACTTCAGTTTTAGCTTGACCTTCCAGTAAATCTTAAGCTTCATTGATTTTGGTTGCTGTATAAGGAGATCCTTCTTTGGGTGATTTAAGAGCATAATTCATCCATGAGCATCTCTTATTTTTCCTTTATTGGCAGTATGGCTTACATTTAGTATTAACGCTGCTTCCCATTTTGTCATTTGGGGTTCAAACCATTCTCTGTAATAGCAGATTTTGGTAGACTTTGAAAAACCAGTTTTTACTTGAGTCTCCATATGCTTCATGTCTTGTAAAACATTAATGGCTACAAATCCTGTGGCAGCAATGATTAGTCCAACTGCTATCACTGAACTGGCCATGGTTAGGCTCCTTCTCCCCCTCCACAAGGAGCAGGGTTCATCCCAGCCCAAAGGCCACCGCCACCAACTTTATCACAAAGTGACACAGCCACAGCCAGGGGAACACAAACCTCCTAACTACAGGAGTGCACATCTATAATCCTAGCTACTCAGAAGGCAGAGATCAGAAGGATGGTGGTTCAAAGCCAGCCCCCGGGCAAATAGTTCGAGAGACCCTATCTCGAAAAAAACTATCACAAAAAGGGCTGGTGGAGTGGCTCAAGTGGTAAGAATGCCTGCCTAGCAAGTATGAGGCCCTGAGTTCAAACTCCAGTGCTGTTAAAAAAAAAAATTTACATTCAAACCAGTGACTGTGGCTCACACCTGTAATCCTAGCTACTTAGGAGGCTGAGATCAGGAGGATCGCAGTTCTTGGGTACAGCCTGGGCAAATAATTTGGGAAGCCCTATCTCCAAAATAACCAGAGAAAAGTACATTGGAGGTGTGGCTAAAGCAGTAAAGTACCTGCTTGCCCTGAATTCAAACCTCTGTCCCACCAAAAAAAAAAAAAAAGCCCACAATCACTGGGTGTGATGGTACATACCTGTAATCCCAGCTCTACAGAAGATGAGGCAGGAGTATCAAGAGTTTGAGGTCAGCCTGAGCTACATAGCAAGTTTCAGCACAGCATGGGCTATAGGACATCCTGCCCCCTCCGCTCCCCACTCCCCACAAAAAGCTCACCGTCCAGTAGGAGATAATTTGCAGTGGTGATTGCAAACTAATATATGCTCAATAAACAGAGGTACTTTGCATATTCCACACTATCCAAATGTGAGACACTGATAAAGATTTGCTTCATTACATTCTGGTGGTTGGGCTTGGAAAGAGTTGCCAAATTTAAGCAATAAAAATATAGCACATGCAGAATGTGCTAGGGGATATGAGGGGTAGAGTTGGGCATCACAGGAAAGCAGAATTTAGATGTTGATAGATGTTGCTGCTGGAATCCAACAAGGAAGGCCAGACAGTGACTTCACAGAACCATAAAGCAGGAGGCAACATTTCATACATATGCCCACTTCCTGACTTGTTATAGTTCCCAAAAGAGTTGAAAAGTGAAGGTGAGAGGAGGGAGGAAGAGGCAATGAAATATGGCCCATTCCTGATAAAGAGCCTCCTCTTGGTAAGCTGAAGTTAGAGAATCCCTTGATATATCTTTATGGAGCCTCAACACTCCTTCAGCTCTAAAATGGCAAATTACTATTGACTCAATTATTAAGGTGCTGAACTGAGAATCTACTTTGTGGATTAACCAGGCCCTTTACTTTTCTTTCTTTATTCTTCCATATGCCTTTTAGGCAATTCATCACTTACAATTTCCCCTAGAAGGTAGAATATTGAAGCTTAAAAACTGGTTACTGTTAGGGCTGAGGGAATGCCTAGAAAGTGTGAGGTCCTGAGTTCAAACGCCAGTACTGCCACAAAAAATAATTGATTAATTAGTAAATAAAATTGGTTACTGTTAAAGAATGGCTGTGGAGTGGTGACTACTGCTGTCAAATAAGGGGTACAGCACTTTGTTGTGTTTTTGTTTTTTTTTTAATCACAAACTACTGTGGTTTAACTAATTACCACAAGGAAATGGTCTCAGAATAAATAATTATATTGCCCAATATTTAGGGGGTGCTCTTAAACAAAAATGACGATCTCAGTCTTGTTAACAGGGTTCTGAACACGGAGATGCAACATGTAGGTTGGCCCCGGAGCTGGGCGGGGACGACTTACAGCTAAGAAGAGCCCAGTACCGATTTTCAACCTGTCACGCCCTTCTCAAAGATGGCCGACCTCACCTCCCTCACGCAACATGGGCGTTTCCAGGCACTTCCTACGAAATTGAGGCTACCCTGATCCAAAAAGGCTTTCATGACCAAAGTCAAGATGGTAGGCACATCCTTGTGAAGCTATCCCCGCTCATACCCCTCACCTCGGCAAAAATGGTCCCCTGTGTCAGACTTTTTTCCCTTTGGAGGTGGGGGTTGCCAGGAGTAAAAATGGCTTCTTCTGCTAACAGGTTAAATAGGAAGTGAAGCTGCTGACGACGAGACGTTGCCCGCAGTTCTTTGCGAGGCGTGCTCGGAGTGAGTTCCGTTTGCCCTTATTAGCCATGGCGCTGGCCAGCGTGTTGGAGAGGTCGCTCCCGGTGAACCGACACGGGTTTTTCGGACTTGGGGGTCGTGCAGAGCTGCTGGACCTGGGTCCGGGAAGTCCCAGTGATGGGCTGAGTCTGGCGGCGCCCAGCTGGGACATCCCAGAGGAGCCGCGAATCGAAATGCTTCATGGAACCACCACCCTGGCCTTCAAGGTGCCGATCCAGCCGAGCTGAGCCCCGAGCGCGCGCTTCCCGACCTCTCAGCCCGACCGGGGCCCGCTGTGGCCGCCCTGGTCCCGGCCCTAGCGGTTCCGCTGTATCACGGTCCTGGGAAGCCTCCATCCTCGCTCTGGCCCGAGAAGGGGGCGGTGGGCCGGGGGCGAATGGGGGAAGGACCCCGAGACAGCGTCCCCAGGCTGCTCTTGTCCAGGAGTCGTCTCTTGCTGGGAAAGGGAGGCCACTGCGACCATGAGCCGGGGCAGAGGGAAGGCTTTGTAAACCCTCAGGACAAGGGTCACGAATCTGTGGCCTGAGAGGGAAGCTAGGGGAAGGCGGGGGACCACTGTAGTAGGAACTAGACAGTTAGGGTCCCTGGCCCAGCTCTCCAGTAACTAGCTATAAATCGTGGGCAAGCCGTTCTATTTCACTGAACTGTTTCTTCATCTACAAAATGAATGTGATACTGTTTACGCTCAAGTCAAGGGATTGCCAGGAAGGTCGAATGACTTTAATGTGTGGAGAAGTATATGGCGAAATATGTGATATAGAAACGAATAGAAAAAGAGGTGTGCTTGATTTGCATTAATGCAAAAAAAGAAATAAGAAATATAGGGGATTTTTTTTTCTTTTTTCTTTTTTTTTTTTTTTTGCGTTGTTACCGGGGTTTAACTCAGGGCTTACACCTTGAGCCTCTCCGCCAGCCATTTTTTGTAAAGAGTTTTTTTGAAATAGGGTCTCATCAGCTATTTTTCCAGAGCTGGCTTGGAACCGCGATCTTACTGAGGACTACAGGCGTGAGCCATGGGAGCCCAGCCATAGGGGGATGTTTTGTGATCTGATGTGGCCCGTTTTGTATTTCTCTCTCATTTCAACAGTTTCGCCATGGAGTCATTGTTGCAGCTGATTCCCGGGCTACAGCTGGTGCCTACATCGCCTCCCAGACGGTGAAGAAGGTGATAGAGATCAACCCCTACCTTCTGGGTACCATGGCTGGAGGTGCAGCAGATTGCAGCTTCTGGGAGCGGCTGTTGGCTCGGCAATGTCGAATCTATGAGCTTCGAAACAAGGAACGCATCTCGGTGGCAGCTGCTTCCAAGTTGCTTGCCAACATGGTGTATCAATACAAAGGCATGGGGCTGTCCATGGGCACCATGATCTGTGGCTGGGACAAGAGAGGCCCTGGTGAGTTGCCCTGCAATCACATGACATTGGGCTGATAGCACAGAGAAAAGGGGTTCAGTAGACAGATGAGTTGGTGCTGAGGATGTACTGATTAGGTCTTAGCCCTCCCATCTCTTTGTCCAAGGAAGGCACTGTGGTGTAGGAAGGGCATGGAGTTAGACCAACTGTGTTATCCACTGCCTTAGTCAATTGACCTTAGGCAGGATGCTTGTTTGCTCAGCCACTGTTTCTTCATCTTTCACCTTTGTTAAGTGAATTGTCACATTGGTTAAGTGAAGTAATAAATGTAAAGCAGCTAGTACAAAATCTGGTACATAGTAGTTTTTCTTCCCATAAAATGGTAAGCCCTAGAAAGAGTTGTATTTGAGAATTAAATTGGCTGATAGAAAAACTCTAGCTGGCACTATCTAGAAAAATAACTAGAAAAATAGTTTAGAACACATAGTTTAGCATTTTTGCACATTGTTTTTGTGGTACTGGGGTTTGAACTCAGGGCCTACACTTTGAGCCATTCCCCCAGCCCTTTTTTTTTTTTGTGATGGGTTTTTGTCAACATGGGGTCTCTCCATCTGTTTCCCGGGCTGGCTTCAAACCTCAATCGTCCTGATCTCTGCCTCCTAAATAGTTAGGATTACAGATGTGAGCAACTGACGCCCATCAAATATATTTGAAACGAAAAGCCAGGCTCAGCGTAATCTTGTTTACAATCATCCAGGTTCTTGTTCTGTTATCTCTAAGAAGAAATTTCTTAGCCTGTTTTCCTTCCCAGTATGTAAGAACCTTGCCAGGAAGTTCAACATTATATTTGATGTTCTTTCCTTTTTTTTTTTTTGGAGGTACTGGGGTTTGAACTCATGAGCTTCATGCTTGCTAAGCAGGTGCTCTACTGCTTGAACCATGCATCCAGCCCTGTGCTTGAAAATATTCCTTCCTCCTGTTGTTTTTGCTTCATTCCCATTTACTTGTTTATTAAATGCATTGCTTATTAAATATTTCGTATAACAACCATGGAATACTTACCACTTTTCACTTGCTTTGAAGTAAGGGTGGAAAGGAGTATAGAGAATCAATTTGCTACCCAAAAGAGGATGAATGAGGAGATTGAAAAGTAGTTTAGTTGGTTACTTTGGGAGTCCAGACACCTTTGTCTTTGAAAGGTGTGAAAGAACAGTTCCATACATCTTGTGTGGCTCAAGGAACAATTTTGGAAATACTACTTTTTGGTGGGGTGGGGGTAACTGGGGTTTGAAAACTCAGGGCCTCCCACTTGTTAGGCGGGCACTTAACCACTTGAGCTACTCCACCAGCCTTGTTTTTGTGTTAGGTATTTTGAAGATAGGGTCTCACAAACTATTTGCCTAGGCTGGCTTTGAAACCAGGTCCTCCTGATCTCTGCCTCCTGAGTAGCTAGGATTACAGGTAGGAGCTAGGGAAGCCTGGCAGAAATGTTACTCTTAACTCCTAACTCTTAACTCATCACTCGTTTGTTTCAGGTGGTGGAAAGAATGTAAGACATTACAGGGAATGTCTAGCATGGAAATCTAGGAAGCTAGAGCAAAACCAAAATTGTATCTCTTTGAGAAGCCTTCCTGACAACCCATTCTATTCAGTGTGAGGTGGCCCTTGATTCAGGAAGCCAACCAAGAGTCATTGATTACATCAGGCGAGGATGGCTGAGATGAGCACCTTTTTTTTTTATTTTTTTGCAGTACTGGGGTTTGAACTTAGGTTCTCATGCTTGCTAGGCAGGTGCTCTACCACTTGAGCCACAGTGCCATCCTTTTTTTTGGTGGGGGGGAGGTTGAGGATTTTCGAGATAGGGTCTCAGGAACTATTTGCCCGGGCTGATTTGAACTGCAATCCTCTTGATCTCTGCCTCCTAAGTAGCTAGTATTACAGGCATGAGCCACTGGTACATTGTTGAGATGAACATCATCTTAAGTGGTCTCTAGCCAATGGCATTGTTAAATGCTGAGGAGTTAAGAGAAGGAGACTACTTCTGAGAGAGGAACTGGAGACTTCCTAAATAGGTGGCACTTGTCCTGGATGTGAAAATGAGAGAAAGGGAACATAAGAAATGAAGGCAAGAAGGAAAGAGCCATGAGATTTTTGGGGAGTACCTGGAAGTCCAGTTTAAGAGGTATGAAGGGAAGTAGTGAGCCATAAAGCCAGGAGATAAATTGGAACCAGATTGTGAACCACGAGGCAAGGTGGTGGCACTAGGACTGAGGAGGGGCTGGAAAAAAAAAATGTAGTAGACATTAGAATCATTTGAACCTAGAAACTGATGAGGGCAGTGGTTCTTAGCCTGGCTTGCATTAGAATTGCCTCAACAGCTGGGTGCCAGTGGCTCACCCTTATAATCCTGGTTACACAGGAGGCAAAGATTAGGAGGATGGCCTTTTAAGACCAGCCTGGGCAAAAATTTTGCAAGACCCCAACTCAACCAATAGTTGGGTGCAGTAGGTGCACCCATCATCCCAGCTACTTGGGAGTCTGAGATTGGGAAGATTGTGGTTCCAGGCTTGCCTGATCAGAAATTCAGTGAGACCTCCATCTCAATATAAAAAGCTTGGCATTGGGGTGAACGCCTGTCATCCTTGCTACTGCAGGAAGCGTAAAAAGGAGGACCGAGTCCAGGTGGGCCTGGGCAAAAATTGAGACCGTATTTCAAAGTATCTAGAGCAAAAAGGGCTGGAGGCATGGCTCAAGTGGTAGAGTGCCTGCCTAGCAAGCCTGAAACCCTAAGTTTAGACACCAGTACCTTCAAAAAAAAAAAGGTGCCATACTCCTTTGCATAGCTACTGGCCTACCATACTATCCCTTTTAAATGGCATCTTACCTTAAGAACTTAAAAACTAGCTCCATGCTTGTCTTCCCCACATCAATCAAAAAGAGTACCTGAAGCATTGGGCATTGGTTGTACATGCTTATAATCCTGGCACTCAGGGCAGAGACAGTAGGATATTGAGTTCGAGGCCAGCCTGGACTACATAGTGAGACTGTTCCCACTCTCACACTTTTTTTTTTCTTTTTGGTGATACTGGGGTTTGAACTCGGTCTCATGCTTGCTGGGCAGGTGCTCTTACAGCTTGAGCCACTGTGCCTCCTCCCCTTTTTTGTGATGGGTCTTTTGAGATAGGGTCTTAAGAACTATTTGTGGACTGGCTTTGAACCATGAGGCTCCTGATCTCTGCCTCCTGAGTAGCTAGGATTACGGGCATGAGCCACCAGCACCTGACTGAAAAAAAAAATCTTTAGATGATTCTGCACTGGGAGAGTTGGGCGCCCCTGACGTTTGAAAAAGATTAGTAATGCCATTGGCAGAATTTGAGAAGACCAGGAAGAAGTAAGGTTGGTGAGGTGAAAGACATGAGTTTGGTAGGTAACGGAGAAGTCCTGAGGTGTTTAAGAACAGGAGATTTGAATCCGAACTTGATGACAAAGGCATCCCGGTTGACTTTATTTATTTTTTGTGGTGCTGGGGATGGAACCCAGGGCCTCTTGCATGCTAAGCTAGTGCTCTACTGAATTATACCCCCAGCCCTGATAGAAATTTTACTAAACTCTTGAGTTTTTGTCTATTTCAGAAATCAGCTAACTTTTTCATAAAGGGAATATAGTAAATATTTCAGACTTGCAAGACCATAGGATATTTGTCTCAACTACATGTGCAAATGAGTGTTCTAATAAAACTTTACAGAAATAGGTGATTGGTGCCTGCCTAGCAAGGCAAGACCCTGCGTATAACCCCCCCAGTACCACCAAAAACAGGTGATCAGCCTGGCCAATCCCTAGTCTATAGTAGCAATAGAAACAAAATGTGAGGATTTGCCAGGCGTCCGTGGCTCATGCCTGTGATTCTAGCTACTCAGGAGGCAGAGGTCAGAAGGATCAGGATTTGAAGCCAGCCTGGGCAAGTAGTTCTCAAGACCTTATCTTGGAAAAAATGATCACAAAAAAGAGCTGGTGGAGTGTCTCAAGGTGTAGGCCCTGAGTTCAAACCCCAGCACCACACACACACACACACACACACACACACACACACACAAACACCAAAAAAACCAGTATTGCACAAAATTAATAGTGTTTTTAGCCCAGTTATTCAAACTATTATCATTTTGGCATATAGTATTAGCTTCATTTCAGCTGTTCAGTAGTCACATGTGGCTACCATACTGAATAATGTAGGTCTTTGCTACATGACTTTATTCTCTTGCTATGTGATAGATATCTTGTCTCCCAGATATTCTCAACTCTTTGAGGACTAGGATCATGTTTTTTTTTTTTCTGGTGGAACTGGAGTTTGAACTCAGGATGTCAAGCTTGCAAAACAGGAGCTGTACACCCTGAGCCACATCTCCAGTCCATTTTGCTCTGGTTATTTTGGAAATGAAGTCTAGTGAACTATTTGCCCTGGCTGGCCTCAGATGGAAATCCTCCTGATGTCAACCTCCTAAGTTGCTAGGAATACAAGCATGAGCCACTGAAGTCTGGCATAGACTGGGATCATGTTTTATATGTTATGTCCCAGGTAGGGGACATGACTCACGTGGTAGAGCACTTGCCTAGTAAGCACAAGCCCTGGGTTCAGTCCTGAGTACCACAGTACCTGAAATCCTGTGCTTGAAACTTAAGTGTCAAACTTGCTTTTAGGATGTGCTAAGAGAACAGGCAGGGTAGTTTATTATGATGTGAAGTGAGCTGGGTGGCATGTTGTGCAGTCTGGGAATCTAATATTAAATTTGATTCTGTTTACAATTTTCTTCAAATAATTTTATAGCAGTCATTTTATAGTATTTATGTTGTTTTCCCCTGAGTTTCAGGAGGGTTGGAGAACTACCCTGGAGGATGAATTAGATGTCAGAGGAGTGGTCATTTTTTTCTGCTAACCTCATCTCCCTTTTCAGGCCTCTACTATGTGGACAGTGAAGGGAACCGGATTTCTGGAGCCACCTTCTCTGTAGGTTCTGGCTCTGTATATGCTTATGGGGTAATGGATCGAGGCTACTCCTATGACCTAGAAGTGGAACAGGCCTATGATCTGGCCCGTCGAGCCATCTACCAAGCCACCTACAGAGATGCCTACTCAGGAGGTTCTGTTAACCTCTACCATGTGCGGGAGGATGGCTGGATCCGAGTCTCCAGCGACAATGTAGCCGACTTACATGACAAGTACAGTAGATCCATCCCCTAAGGGAGGGTGGATTTGGCTGCTTGCATTTCTCGGGGTGACTGTCATTGGTAATAATACAGTACCCCATTCTGTGGTGAAGGAGTCCACAGTTGTATTTGTCCTTTCTGCAAAGCTCTGGGAACATTGACCTCTATGTGTTACCACTTGTTAATGAGCTGCTGCAGAGGTGGCTGTTTGTTTTCTTTTCTTGGATGTTACCATTACACTACTTAGCACCCCACCTCAGCCTGTGTTGTGTCTTTTGTCCACACTGTCCCTCCTCCAAGCACTTTATAGTCAAATAAGCCAGGACAGTGGGAGGGAAGGGACTGTAATTACAGGAAACAGTGGTGTGAAGACATTGTCTAGTCTAGTGAATACATTAATGTCCCCACTCATGAAGCTAATAACAAAGGAGAAGGAGAGAGAGGCAAGGAGGAGGGAGAGACTTCCCGATTCAGTTTGCAAAAAGATGAAAAGTTGATGAGGTGGAAAGATGCACAGGGCTGTATTAGGCAGGCCTGCAAAGGAAAAAGCTCTCACTGGTGGAGGAGGGCAGGTCCTTCTGCTCAGAAAGGTGAGGAAATCTGTAAAATTTTCTGGTGTTTTGTTTGTTTATTTGTTTTTCTGGTACTGGGGTTTGAACTCAGGGCCTCACACTTGCTAGGCAGACACTCTACCTCAAGCCACTCTGCCAGCTTTTTTGCTGTTTTGAGACAGGGTCTCACCATGTAGCCCTGGTCTTGAACTTGATCCTCTTGCTTCAGCCTCCAGAGTGCTGAGATTACAGGCATGTACCACTATGTCCAGCATGAATCTGGGCTCTTAAACCAGTTGGGAAGGAAAGGCTTGAACCCTGAGACACAGGACAGAGAAAAGAATATGAAAGCCATTTTGACCACAAGTTTGGTATCTTTGTTCTATTGATTTTGCAGTGTGTTTGTATGTGTGTGTGGCCCTGGAGGTGGACAGTGGGTTTGTAGCCTCCTGGGCAGAAGTAGTTCCAAATTGGCTCTGGAGTGTGTGGGTGGGAAGAGGCCCTGCTGAGCATGAAGAGATGACTGATTTATCACACTCAACACTGAGGGGGTTCTCCAGCTAGGTTGGCAGCAGATGGCAAGAGCTTCTGTTAAAGAGAAGATGGGAGACAGGGGAGTTGGCAGGAGAGACCTTTAAAAGAATGGGAGAGGACACAACTGTGACAGCATTTTATTTAGTTAACCAGAAGGAAGATAATGGTTGGTGAGGGGACAACCCAGTGTCAGGTTTTGAGACTTAAGAGGTTGGGAGGGGTCGTTCATGAAATAGAAGGGGTAAGGCTGCTTATCCTCTGTATTGCAGCTACCTTCCCTTCCTCCTCATCCTGGTGCAATTTTTGTATTGATTGATGAGGGCTGTCAGCCAGGAACTGATCGAGGCTTGTTAATTGCATTTGTCAAATGCAGGGAAATTGGGAATTAGTGAGACTGGAGAAGGGAGTTTGGAAAACAAATGACTCTTGTGCCTTAGGAGATTCATTTTGTTAAAAAGTGTCTCCAGAACCCCTGGAGTCAGGGAACTCTGTGGTAGAAATGGGCAGGAGCCATGTCTCATCTCCCTCCTAACCATCAGCAAATGGTTAGGTGTATGACAGGAACAGGTACTGTCCTCATTTAGGGCACTTGTTTGTAGATCTCACGGTTTGAGAGTGGCTCAACAGTGAAAGCACCTGCCTAGCAAGCTTGCGGCATGAAGTTCAAATTCCAGTACCAAGGGAAAAGAAGAGAAAACAAAACAAACTAGAACTTTTTTCTCTTTGGTTTTTTGAGATAGGGTTCTGCTATGTAGCCAAGGCTGGCCTTAAACTTGTGGTCCTTCTGCTTCAGCCTCTCCTAGAACTTTTTATTTTTATTTTTTATTAACTCTTAGGAGACATCATCCCTGAAAGAAATAGAATTACAGGTTGAAGTGGAATTCAGGGGTCTAGAGCCTCAACCATTGTGCTTCCCCATCCAGTCATAACACCTTTGGCCTCCTTCCTCTCCCCTTTGCCCCTATACTCCCTGCAACCTTGCAAACCAAAGAAACACAGTTTGGAAACACTCCCTGGGAAATAGCCTTGTAGTGGGAAGAGTTGAGGGTTGGAATTATGACAACAGAGAACCAAGACTCCTAGCCTCAGTCCCTGAGGAGGAATTTCAGTCTGGAGAAGAGATGAACTTGCAACAGCACAACCCCTTCCCACCTTGCTTTGGCAGTGGTCTGACTGTTTAATGTAAACACTACACCACCAGAGTCATGTTCAGTACAGAAAATGTATAACCTGAACTCCTAAATTCTTCTGATATGTCCCTATTTCTCTGCCCTCCTGGGCCTGGGGTACAAGACTTATTTAATGGAAGAGATCAATTTGTGGGAGGTTTTCTGGGAAGAAAATAGAGAAGGAAAAACTGCTAGTGTCTAGGCCAGTGCCTAGACATCCTGTGCATCTGATTTCTTGTTGCTGGGTATTGGTGGGGAGTTGGCTGTGTAGCAATGCTGTCCATCTCCACTTGTGTGGGGATGATGAATGCTGTATAGCATTGGAGAAATGCTGTTGAGTAGAGTGTACCAGTTCAGGGACTCCCTTCAGATTCATTTCCCAGTACAGTCGTCTTGACAAAGGATGATGGAAAATAAATTGCCTTAAATAGCTGAAAGATTAATTTCTCATGGCAGTTCCGAAGCAGCTGAGGGACAGGGCTCTTTAAATGATGTCTGACAATTTCTCCTCCCTCCCCAGATAGTTCAGTAACACCAAAATCTCCCTCCTCTGGGTAGGTGATGGGACTAATCTAGTTAAAAAGAGAGTGAATACTCCTAGATGGCCCCGTGCTTTCTCTTGCGTGCAGGGAAATCAGAGGGGTTGGATGCAGATAGATGGGCCTTACAGCATCTGCACACCAGGCAAGGGAGGGCTTGGGGAGTAGCAGTACACTTCAGGGTGAGTGGAATGTTCATAAAGAAAGTGGAAAGATAGATGAGGACATGGAGAAGGAGGGAGGAAGGGGCTGGTAAAGCAAATCAGATACTGAGGCATAATAGTTACTGAGTGTTCCCTCTTTAGGCAAAACCAGAAGGTCAGCATCTCTTGATATCCTCAGCTCGCAAATGAGAAAACTGTCAAAGCCATTTGGGGAGTAGAAGGTCACATCCTTTGAGGGGAAATAAAACAACTGATTTATTCTGGTCCATGGATTCTATGTGGTCTGTTAAAGGAAGGAATTAAGGGTGGGGATGAAAGGCAGGAAAAAAAAAGTGGAGGGGAGTGCCAGGAGTAAATGAAGATGATGTGGGGCCCGTGGAGACTCTACACGACCATATGTATTTTGGTGAGCAAATTTAGGTTTTTTATTTTTCTCTTACTTGTTTTCTTACAAGCCTCTCCTAGGGCTGTAACAGAAGATTAGGTACTTTGAAATTGACCAGCACCAGTGACCTCAAGACACAATTAAGTGCTTTATTATTTAAAATATACATATATTGCAACCAAGCTGTTTTTGTTTAGTTCTTGCTTGTTTTTGTAATTTCTCCTTTCCTCAGGAAGCCAGAATCATATTGGGAAAGCTTTAATTATAGCAGGCAAGAGGAGAGCGCAGACCCAGCAGTCAAAACTGCCTTTATCAGCAGCTGCGGCTCCCCCAACCCATCCAGGTTGCCCTCACCTCCCCCAGTCAGCCACTGTTCTCATTCCTCCCCAGGCCTGGCCTCAGAGCCAAGTGCTGGGCTCCAGAGGCTATGCCCCACTGAAGCATTTCAATAAAAACCATTCCTAAAATGTCCCCTTCTCAGTTGTTAGTGGGTCAGGCAGAAGAAATTCTACCCACATCAGCTTCTTGGGTTTATTTAACTTAACTCATTTCTCCCAGAAGCTATTGCCTCTGAGTTAGGTGCCAAGCCTTACTTGGTACTTAACCATTCATAGTCCAGATTAGGCTGTCACTAGACACGAAGAGCTGACCTGATTTTTTTGAAAGGAGTAATATACCATGGTACAACCTCTTCTGATGCCTCCCCTTCGCCACTCCCTCTTCTCAGGCTGAGCCTCCTTTTTTTTGCCTGATTCCATGTTTCCAATTCTGTTCTCTTCATAAAAATTTCCTTTTGGGGCTTGGGGTGTAGCTCAGCTGGAGAATGTGTGCTTAACATGTGCAAGGCCCTGGGTCTATAAAAAAATAAAATAAAAATATCTTTTTTCTCTCCTCCACAGAATTTAAATTAAAACCAATCAATCAATAATCCAAGTACCGCTTATAGCTTTAATGTAATAAGAAAAGGTTATCACTAACTGCAGGGTACCCAGAAAGCTGGTATCACACAGGAAAACACAGATGGGATGGGAGAAAGGGAGCTAGAGAGAACAAGAGACAAATGAGAGACAGGAACAGAAAAGCAACTCCTCGACAGCAAGCTTGAGGGAGATGTGGACTGGCAGAGGAAGATGGCTGGAGACATTGACAGGCAGAACTGGACTTGGGGTGGGGATGAGGGTATGACAGGGAGTAGGAAAGGAGACTGAGAAGGACAGTGGTAAAGAGAGTGGGCAAAGATGTTGGGGGGAATGAAGCAGCCCAAAGCTAATGTGCAGTGAAACATATCCCCCTGGAGACAGAATTTCTCCAGCCATACATAATGAACACGTGCCTCTCCGTGTGTTGTCCCTGTACTGTCACAGTCACTTACATTCCTCAAGGATCTCTCAGTGTCTACACTACTTATGCAAAGTTGGAAAGACTGTTTGGGCTCTCAGCCCACTTTTCAACCCAGCCAGGCCAAAGACAGAAAAGTAGAAATGGGTAAATGAGTCTGAATCATGGATTTGGTATCTTTGAAGAGCTTATTTTTAAGGTCAATGACAGGGCTTCTCTCCCCTTGCCTCAGTACCACTGGTCACACACCCATAACTCATTCCTTTTTCTATTCAAATCCACAGGTCAGAACCAAAGGCTGTTCAAGTGAGGGGTGGGGGAGGCGCAAACTTCCAGGAAGACAGGAATAACATGGGCTTTGGGTAAGGGAATAAATGGGTCTAAGTAGGGAGCAACGTTGAGGGGCTACTTTTGCAACCACTGCAGCTCTTTTTCTCAACCTAGCCTCAGTACCATCACTGTTCAGGCCACATCTCTGCATCCTAAGCTTCCCTGTGCTTAAAGTTTTCACACAGCACTGAGGCATTTGCTTTCCAGGCAGTGTATGCCAAGTGGTGACGTGCATGTGAGATGTTGTCT